CTATTTATAAGGCAAGAATTACACAAGACATAAGATAAATCACATATATCTATTATCATCTTTATTTATCCAAACAAACCTAAATATCAATCGATTTTTTGGATCCTATTGTATTTTTAACTGGATATGGATGGATTCTTTCTAATCCTATCATATCTCTAATACTCCTCCTTAAGTTGGTACATTGAAATCAATTGAAATGTTTAACTTGAATTGAAAATGGGGTGGTTGCTTGTCAATTGCATGATGTAGCTTTGGTGATAAAACTCCCCTAACAAATTAGTGTGAATGTACATGGAATAATAACCTGTAAATTTTTTTTTTTTGAATTTTTTTTCTTTTCTTTGTACTCATTTTTGATCGAAGCCTCTCTCTCCACATTCAAATCTCCCATTGTTTTTTTTTCTCCCTCTTTATTTTTGACAAAACCATGCCTCGAGATCCCCTTCCAATAGAGGGTTACATAAATAATCAACTAAACCCAAAAAAAAAAAATAATATTCTTCCTATATTAAAATTGAGAAGAAATTCTTCCATAACATAAGGCAGAGCTCATGGTGGCCAATGCATCGATGCCCTTTAGTGTCTTTTTTTACGTGTCTTCTTATTGCCAAGACTCTTTGCTTGATGAAAAACTCCAAAAATAACATGGCAACCAATAGCTAGACTCCTAATTTAAAGTGAGGTCTAATCGACCCACTTTGATACCATGTTGAAATTTAGATTAATAGAGAAATTGAAGATAGAAGACTGATAGAAAAGTAAGACACAAAAAAATATGTGACTTGGCACACTACTTACATCCACAAACTTGACACCCTATAGACTACATCTGATATATTATTGGAAGTGATTGATTACATGGGACTCAACCCTTTTTTTAGGATGAGAATTACACAAGATAAAAGATAAATCATATATCTAGTATCATCATTACTTATCCAAACAAACCTAGATATCAATGAATTTATTTGGATCCTATCATGTGTATAATTCGATATTGATGAATTCTTTCTAATCCTATCATATCTATAATAGTTACACCCAAAGTGGATTGTTTGGTAATTCTACAAACTAAGAGAGGTTTAGTGCAAAACATAGAAGTGTATGTGGGGTACTATGCTATCCACCCCTAAGTATTAAGAGGGTTTCCATAGTAAACATAGATGAGGTCAATGGAAATCCCATATAGGCAAGTAATGCACTTGTTTAAAACTAAGAATCACAAACACGAGACTTAGTTATGACACACAAGAACAAACAGATGCAACATATTTCAGCAAAGTAGAACACAAGCAACTCAACGACAAGTTACAAATAATTACGTTTTATATGTCAACTTATATAATTTATCACAAATATAGAAATTATTATAGTGCCGCCGCTCATATGAAATTCTGTATCCCATGACAAGTAGAGATTATATGTAGTAAACTATTGTGAATTTGTAAGCTAAAGAATATAGTAGTCACGAAATTATCGATTCTTTTTAGGACAATGTGTAGCAAATATAAATAATTGCACTACAATTATTGATACAATTTTGTAGCAAATTATCGATTCATCCACTTCTCAATCCTCTTTTTAGCAAAATTTTATGCATCTTTTTCATTTATTAGTAAATTTTACTTGCACCTATAGCATGCGCAATCTCAACAATTTTGTATTCCTACATTGTATAATCAACTCTTTAAGCTTTGTTGAGTACATGCTAGCACATTCTTATAATTCAGTAGGAAAAAAGGGTTAACAAAGTGTTGAACATATCACCAAAGGAGTGTTAGACATATTTTCAAAACTAAATTTTTATCTTTTAATTATGGACACAGATAAAAGAGGGAGCTAGACAACCCGATGTGGTTAGCAAACATGGTACTCATGGAAAAAACCAATTGAAAGTGGCATTTATGTAGTGGCTTCACTAACCTCAATCGAGCATGCCAAAATGATAGTTTCCCTTTCCTTGTATTGACCTCATAGTAGATTCAATAGCAAGTCATGAGCTCTTAAGTTTCATGGACGCCTTCTCAAGATACAACCAAATCATGATGGCCCACATCGACTAGGAGAAGACATCGATTGTGACCGAGCAGAGGACCTTTTGCAATCAGGTCATGCCATTTGGGCTCAAGAATGTTGGAGCCACTTATCAGTGGCTAGTAAACAGAATGTGAAAGTCTTGGGTCGACAATAGAAGTATACATTGATGACATGTTCGTGAAATATTTGAAGGGAAAAATCCACATCTAGCACCTCGAGGAGTCGGTCCAAATCCTTAGAAACTACGGGATGAAGCTCAACCCTAAAAATGTGTCTTTGGGGTCTCAGCTGGAAAGTTCTTTGGATTTATCATCCACATAAAATGAATCGAGGCAAATTCAAAAAGGGTAAAAGTGGTAATCGACATGAAATCACCCACCAACATCAAAGAGGTACAATGCCTCACAGGAAGAATAACAACTCTTTTATTATTATTTTTTATGATCTAGTGACAAATGTTAACCCTTCTTCAAGGTCCTTAGGGCAGCTTTTCAGTGGAATGACCAGTGCGAGGAGGCTTTCCAAGGCTTGAAAACTTACCTAAGATCTCCTCTAGTGCTAGTTAGTCCAAAAGAACGGAAATTATTTACCCTATACCTAGTTGTGTCTGAATTTTCAAGCAGTGCAACCTTGGCAAGGAAAAAAGAAAAGAGGCAAAAACCTATGTATTTTTGTAATCGGGCTCTCAGAGGAGCAGAAGAAAGGTACCCCAAATAAAGAAGTTAATTCTAACACTGGTGACAAAATAGGCTGAGGTCGAGCCTCTAACAACTATTACCGAGCAAAAAAATAGAAACTTCATTTGGAAATCAATTGTTTGTAGATTTGGAATCCCAAGAGCTATTGTGTCTAATAACGACAAGCAGTTTGACAAATTGACCTTCACAAACTTCGGTTTGGAGCTTGGCATAAAGAACTACTTCTCAGCTCCAACTCATCCCTAGTCTAATGGTCAAGCAGAGGTCACCATAAGAACAGTTATCATAACTCTAAAGATAAGGCTAGAGGCATCAAAGGACCATTGGTTAGACCAACTCCTAAGCGTGTTCTAGGGGTATATGATGACAGCTCAAAAAGCTACAAATGAAACTCCCTTCAGCCTAGCCTTTGGAACAAAGTTTGTTGTGTCAGTGGATATCGGGCTTGCCTCTTCTAGTATTGAACTCAGCTATCCCAACTAGAATGATCGATCTCTCCTTGTGAACCTCGACCTCCTCGATGAGAAAAAGAATGAGATGTTGTAGAGGATCTTCTTTTACCAAAAAGAATAGCACAATATTACAATCGAAGAGTCAGATACAAGAGCTTCAAGTCTGGGGTCCTCCTCTTAAAGAAGTTGTTGCCTAGAAGGAAAGATCCAAGGCATGCAAATCTAGGCCCCATCTGGGAAGGACCCTACATAGTAAAAAGGGTAGTTAGGTCTGCCAACTACGAGTTGCAAAATGAAGAAGGAAAATACCTGACACATTCATAGAACGCAAATCACTTGAAGAAATTCTACCAATGGCAAGTTGGATGCTATTAATGAACACCTCTTCTCAGAGGACAGTTGTTAATATTTAAGATTAATGAAATTTTCGTAAAATCTTGGCACAAAAATTCTTGAGTATGCAAATAACGTTACGGCGTTGACGCATGCTTCATGAATTGCCACAGTTTTTGAAAAAAGGCTAGACATAGTAGGGATGCCTTTGGCCTATCCTTCCAACAGTCTGCCTCTATCATCCATTAGAACAATCCCAATGGAAGCCTTCTTTGCGTTGGAAAGAAAGGCTCCAACGCAATTGAATTTCATATTGATGATGCACAAATTGGTTTGTACACCACCTGTCAAGTAAACATTATTAAATGTAGTAAACAAGTTGAGAGAGAGAAGACAAGGTTTATTGTGACCTACGTCTACTTTGAATGGCTAGGGTCGCCGTGTATTTTTTTAACTCAAGTGCATAGGGAGAGCTGAGAGTTATAAGCTTAGAGAGGGAGAAGAGAGTTATGCTCGACTGAGTGAGATATGCCCCTAAGTGTTGGTAGGGCTTACAATTTATAGTCGCCTCTTAACAAATTGAGGCGACTTAATAGTAACAAAGTGGCTATTCTGGTGGAGTTGGAGATCTCTTCTCAATGGGCAAGGGAGGTATGGTGATCTCCATGAGATTCAGTCAAAGGATGAGATGGGTTTTGACTCTTTCCAAAGCGGCGAGGATGAGGCTCTTGGATGACCCTTGTATGCTCCCATGCTGATATAGCTCCTCGAACTTGATGAGCTTGACCGAGCATAAACCACTTTAGACACTGAATCTTTTGAAGTTGGGCTCTTAATTTAAACTGGGCTTAGATTGTGGGCTAGGCCCTTGGGCTTGACCATCATTTACCCCCCTAATGCTTTATGTACAATGGAACTTAGAGAGAAGGACATTCGGTTGAGTTTGAATTTCGGCTAAACGCATAATTGGAAAAACTTTGGAAGGTCAAAACATATGTTTCTAGGCCTTTTTTGGACTATTAACAGTGTCTTTTAGCATCAAAGGTGATGAGTTTTATAGGGCTCTCCGCGAGGTTCAATTTGACATATTATGGGCCTCGTTTGGAGTTACGGATCAAAAGTTACAATCAAAATAGCGTGCAACCCTTTTTAAATTTGAATTTCTTGAAGACTCCTTTTGATTGGCGACCCCATCCCTTCCTTTTTTGGATTCTTGAAGAGCCCTAGGCTATAAGTTGGGGTTTTTTGCTCTTTCCTTGATTTCAAGAAACCCTAGGTATAAATAGAAAAGTCCTCCTTTATTTTACCCATTACATACATTTTTGGGAGAGAAGGAAAGCTTTTTTTTTTCAAAATCCTTCAAAGATTTTCTTGAGTAGTGCTCAGAATCCATGGCTAGCGAGTAAGTTATAGATATGGTGGTATTAGAGGAGGAGAGAGCATTAGCAAAGGTCAGGAGCCTTAGGCACCAGCCACTATGACCATCAAAGCTATTGCGAGCATGGACATGGACAAGGCGCCAAATCTGGGCGCTGGGGTGGGGGCTTCAAACCTGGGCGTTATTGTGAATTTCTCTTGGGCACCGTTAGGGGGAGCCATTTGCATAGGTGGATCGAGAAAAAGAGGCGAGGGTGCTGTCCAACGTGCCGAATGGGGGCCGAGCAGACCCGGTAGTTGGCGGGCGAGCAACCCTTATAGGTGCTAGCGGGCAAGCAGCTGCTGATCAGATTTGGCATGAAGAGGGTGCTGTGGGCGTGGATCTGGGCTCGATTCGGGGCGAGGAGGTGGATTTGGGCACCATTGCTAGACAATCGGTGCAAACTGCTGGCTTGGTTTTACGCGATACGTTGGGTGGGTGCCCATGTAGGTGAGCAGATCGAAGAGAGGAGGGCTGTGCAGGTGCCAAGAGGCGCTGATTTTGGCGCTGCTATTGGTCATGCATTTGGGGCACACGAGGAGAAGATGTTAGGTGCCCAAGCTATGGAGACTCCATTTGGGTGAGCAAGCTAGGCGAGAAAGGGATTGGGTGCGCCTGCTATGGTGGCCCCAATTGGGCAAGCAAGCCAAGCAAATGAGGGAGGTGCCTAGGTGCATGGGCTTGCCTTAGGCGCTGGTGGTATGCAGGCTACAGCGTCTTGGGGGAGTAGAGCCTTGGGCGAAGACCGTCCAAGTGAGCTAGTTGGTGCCCATGGTCCAGGCGAGCTTGGTTCTAGAATCAGGGACCGTAGCCCGGGCACTACTGGTGATGACGATCCAGTTCCTTCAAGAGTAAATTCTCAAGATCAGGTTTCTCCAGGCCTCCCTATTATTGCCCCAGGCAACTCTAAACACCCTTGCAATAAAAAATACCAGGGGAAGGTAGTTCTTGATGACGATGGATCTAAAGTGAGTACTATTTTTCTAGCACTTTAAATACAGATGTTGATATTTTGTGGATTGTCTCTACCTACCACATTCCTCCGACTGTGTTGTGCCTTCGAGCTAAGATGGGTGAGCCCGCTTTGTGATGACTCCTCTGGTGACATTGTCATCTATAAGGAGATGTTTGAGGTTGGGCTTAGGTTCCCCATGTCTCCTTCTATTTGTCGCATTCTCCATTACTTTTCACTTACACCGGGGCGATTATCGCCCAATGGTTGGAGAGTTTTATTGTGTTTTCTTGTTTTGTGGAGGAAGGTGCATCATGAAGATGCCTCTCTTGTCGAGTTTCATACAGCTTACACTTTGAGCGAGACTCCTACTCCTAATCAGGGCTGGTACTACTTTACTATGAGAGACAAGTTGATTACTGGATTGCGCTCCAACTTTCATAGCTAGAAATCTCGTTTTATATTTGTTGGCGGAGAGTGGGCTGCAAAGGCCGATAGAGCTTTGGTACCAATAGGATAGGGTGCTCCTAAGAAACTTGGTATGCCCTATACTTACTTTATCTCCTTTGCCTTTTTTTTTAAAGTATATTTTACTCATCATGCCTCGTGCAGATTCTCCTATACTCTCCAAGGACCAAGAATGGAAGTTGCAGGCCATAAGGGCTCATCCTGAAAAAGATGTTGGAGTTCTTATGTCCAAAGACAATGGTTGGGCTAGTGTACCCTTTCTAGGATCCTCGGTGAAAAGAAAGAGTATGTTGATTCTCTTGTACTTTTTCCCTTCACTTGGTGTTTTTTTAGCTAGATAACCCTTTATTTCCTTTGCAGTAGTAGATAGAAAGGTGATTGGGTCTTGCCTCTTTGGTAGGAGCCCTCCTCCTCCCAAGGTGGCGAGGATGGGCGATGCCTCCCAAGTGACCTCTTGAATGGTACTACCTGAGGTGTGTTTCCCTCAAGTAACCCCTCTAGTGGTACTCGGGCGCGCTCCTACCAAGCGACCCCTACAGTTGTGCCTCCTCAGTCAGAGATTCCTTCAGTTGCATCTCCTACTCCAGAGTCCTCCTTGTTGGCCACACCTTCTACCCCTTATTCATCCACTCGTCCTGTGGGAACTTCCAGAAGGGCACCAATTCAGATCACCTCCATGTTAGATAACGCGTTAGTCATAAAGGATCAACTTAGGAGGTTTGTGTTTCCCAACGATGGTAGCGAGATTAGTGCTTAGGGCAACGAGGGGATTGTTAGCTCTTTTCTAGAAGGCCTAGCTCAGGTAAGGATCTATTGTCTCCTTTTCTCCAGTCCTTTCTTAAGCTTTTGACATTCTTTTGACTTCTATCTTTATTTAGGCTTCTACTACGTCTATGTGTTTACTTTTAAGGGCTTATTGTCACGGACAACTGAAGTAGAATCATGAAGTTGTGCAAAAGGAGCTCCTTGCTGCTCCGGGGAGGATTGCTGAGCTTGAAGCTTCTGATAGGACTTTTGAGGCTAAGGTTGTAGCGACCCGTGAGAGGCCACTAAGCTTAAGACTGAGCTTTCGGTGACCCATGAGAGGGCGATCGAGCTTATGAAGACCCGTGAGAGGGCCACACTCAGAAAGGCTGTCACAAAGATAAAGATGAAGACAGCTCATGAGAGAGCTTCTCAAGTTGAGGCAAGGGCTATCATGGCTGAAAGTGATTTGGAAAATGGCTTTGCTGATGCCTTTAATGACGGTTATGAGGAGCTCTGAGGAAAGATTTCTGGTACTTTTCCTGATATTGATGTTTTAGGCTTCTTTCCATTTGAGGCGCTTGATGATAGTGGTGGAGGATCTGACGATGCCGAGGATGATGAGGAGAAGGACGACCATGAGAGTACTTACAATGCTAGGGACTTTTATTTTTATTTTTATTTTTTTTAAAAGCTTTTTTTAGCCCTACTTTTATAAAAGTGGTTTTTTCCACTAATGCTCATTTGAAATTGAATACAAAAATGCAAACATCTTTTGGAATAAATCTAAAAAATTTTATTTATTCACTGCTCATGTCAAGCTGAGGTTGCCTCCTCTACCAAGTTGAGGTTGATGCGAAGTTCGTCCTTGTTGGTGATGGGGCCGTGGTGTTGGACCCATAGAAAATACACCACGATCTCCACAGGGATAACCGCCTCAGTTCCGAAGGCGAGGGAAAAAGGGGTTTCTCTAGTTGGAGCTCTTGGCGTGGTTCGGTAGGCGCATAATATACATGGGAGCTCATCAACCGAAAGACCTTTCACTTTTTTGAGCCTTGTATTTAAGTTGTATAGCACCGTTCTCACAATGACTTATGCTTGTCCATTTGCCTGTTGGTGCACTAGGTTGGAATGAGACTGCTTTATCTGAAGGTTGGAGCAAAAGGAATTCAAGAGTTTGTTGCTGAACTGTTTGGCATTTTCGCTGACAATAGTGTAGGGTATCCCGAAGCAGACCAGACTTTTCTAGATAAAATCTTTAACCTTCGAGTCTATTTAGTACCGCAATTATCCCATTGAGGTGCTGGAGCTCTTTGGTTGAGGAAGGTGACTTCATATCGAGGATGGCCTTGATTTTGTTGGGGTTCACCTCTATTCCCCTCTGGTTGACCATAAAGCTAAGGAACTTTCCTGAGCCTACGCCAAATGTGCACTTCTCAGGATTCAACTTCATGCGGTATGACCTGAGAACGTTGAATGTTTCTTGGAGGTGGTCAATGTAGTTTGATGCGGGAATACTTTTCACCAACATGTCATTGACATAAACCTCCATTGTTCGCTCGATTTGAGATTTGAACATTTTATTTTCCAGTCATTGATAGGTTGCCCCTGCGTTCTTTAGCCAGAAGTGCATGATCCTGTAGCAATAGGTCCCCTTTGGTGTGATAAATGATGTTTTCTCCTGGTCTGGGGGTACATACTAATTTGGTTATATCCAAAGTATGCATCCAGGAACGTAAGCAATTTGTGTCCTGCGGTGGCGTCGATAAGGAGGTTAATTTGTGGTAGTGGGTAGTTGTCTTTCAGACATACCTTGTTGAGCTCGATAAAGTTAAAACAGAGGCGCCACTTCCCATTAGTTTTAGTCACGATCACCATATTTGAGAGCCACTCAGGGTATGCTATTTCTCTAATCGCCTCATTTTTTATTAGTTCTCCCACCTCCTTCTCCATCACTTGGGCCCTTTCAGTAGAGGTACCTCTTAGCTTTTGGCAGACAGGTTTGTAATATGGGTCAACATTGAGATGATGGGTGGTGACCTCAAGGTCGATGCCCTCAAGGTCTGCATATGACCATGCAAAAACATCCATGTTGTGCTTTAAAAAGTCTATTAGCTGGTGGACTAAGTCTTCAGAAAAGGAAGAGTCAATGTATACTCTTCTTTCTGGATACTCCTTATCTAGGACCACCGATTTGAGCTCCTTTACCAGTTCTCCTCTTTCTAACATAGCATCATCTCTCGGGTCGAGGACCTCCACTTGTAGTGCCTCCTATGGCTTTCTAGTTTTCATGGGGGAGAAGTAACACTATCGCGTAGATACTGGTCTCCTCAGACCTCTCTAATTCCATTCAGGAATGGAAAGCGGAGGATGAGATGATAGGTGGAGGGCACAGTTCCTAGGGTGTTGAGAGCATGTCGCCCTAGAATGATGTTGTAGGCCGATAGGCAACCTATCACTAGGAAGTTCACCATGATTGTGGAGCTGCAGGGTGCCACTCCGGTAGTGACTGGTAAGGTGATGGACCCTAGGGGATACACCTTCTCCCCTAAGAACCCAATGAGGGGTGTCTAATAGGCTACAATCTTTCTCTGTCCAAGTTGAGCTTGTCATTGGTTTCTGCGAAAAGATATCTGCAGAACTGCCGTTGTACACCAGGATCCTTCGTACTTGGAAATTGGCGATGATTATGGTGAGCACCAAAGGGTCATCGTAGGGGTGCTAGATTCCTTCTAAGTCCTTTTTTGAGAATGATATGACCTCGTCGTCGTCATGCTTGAGCGCTTTGGATGGGAGCACATCGTCAAGGAGCCTAGCTTTTCTAGCCTGGGCTTTCATGGTAGAGAGTGATTCTCTTCCTCCTGCTAGTCCTCTTGAGATGGTGTGAATTTCTTCGATGGGCTGCTGGTCTGTCTGATTATGAAGTGGTGGCGGTGCCTGACCCCTTCCCTAACATCCTAGCGAAGGTGACCACATTGTATGAGCTCCTCAATCTATCTCTTGAGGTTGTAGCAATCATTGGTGTCATGGCCATGGTCGCAATGGAAGTGACAATATTTGTTCAGGTTCTTGAGATTTAGAGGAGACTTCATCCTCCCTGACCACTTTATTGCGGGGTCATCTTAGATCTGGAATAGGATGTGCCCCATAGCGGCGTTAAGGGGGTGTAAAGACTTGTCGATCTCTCTGAGGATCAGGACCAATCCGATCTTTGGCAGGTAATCTCTCTGTTCTGCTACGCATATTGCTATGATCATTCTTGTCATTTCTTTCTCTTTTCTTTCTCTTCT